GAGCAGCTTTCCAACAAAATTGTTAGGGATCTGCTCTTTCTTTGGGCTCCTCACCTCTTTCCCAGTCATTGGCTGATGTTTTTCCTCTCCCTTTTGCCAGTTTCAAGTTTCCACTCCGACACCAAATGCTTCCCTCCTTTCCTACTGCTGTTAACACGAGGCAGATCAAACAAACACAAAAGTGTTTTCTCAAAAAATAATCATTAAGCTTATCGTGGAGTTTGGTTCCAGTGACAGCTGAATATTCGTTTCATTAATAAGTCATTTGCAATTAATTCCCAGACTCATTTCTAAAAGAACATTGTCACGTTTCCATGGTTTTAAAGTGGCAAAACACCAGTCATTCTTTGACAAAATTTCAGTGCAATGTGCTTAAAGGCATCCACTGGAAAAACCCAGCCTCTGATGAGGAGTGCCCTGTGATATGGGAATGTGGCTGCCAGTAGTGGTGAGGCACCTCTCACAACATGCAAATACCTGCAGAATTCAAGGCTTGAATTTCAGGTGCATGGGTGCTCCTGCTGCTCCATTCACATAATTAGTAATGAAATGACTATTAATTTCTGTTATATAGTAACTATATAGCTATTACATAGTTATAACTATTATAATTATAACTATTATCATAGTTAAGGGCTTTTCTTCCATTTAAGGCTCATAAACAATTTCCCTATGCTGGAAACATAAAATCTCCAATACAAATGATTCGATGTCTCTCTTTTCAATCAAAAGGATGGAAGAAGAAATAATTTTTATCCTGCCTTCTGAAGCTGAAGATGCTGCAGCTCACAAAGGTTCCTGAGGTTCTAAAATCAAACCAGGATGAGCATCTCTCCTTGGAGATCCAAGGGGCTCCATCCTCAACCTACCAAAGTCACCTTCTGCTGGGGATGGGATAGGCACCATTTCCATTGATGTTTCATTAAGAATTAAACAACAATTTATCCTCCTTCACAGTGCTCTTTCTAACCTCGTGAACTGGCATGATTTGGGAATAAATAGCACAAGAAAGTGTCTCTAATCCTGGGCATCAGCTCCACTTTCACTCTAAATCCCGAGCCCTGACACGTGGCCAGCAAAGATGAAGGACAAATCTAAGCCATAGAAACAATTACAATTGTTGTCATCTCACCTTGTCAATAACCTTCCCCCAAAATTACAGGTTAAAGAGGTGTCTGTAATCATTAACAGCCTGGAGGAGAAGCACATTACCAAAGCAACAAACCTCTAATCAACAGAGTGGGAGCAGTGCAGAAGAGAAAAATAACTCCTTAACGAGCCAGTTGCAATAATTGTTTTTTTTTAAAAAAATAAAGATCTTGCTTGGTACATATAGTTACCACCCCACACTGGCAAAATTGACATGTTGGAAAAAGTGAACATCATAAATTTCTGCCTACTTGGGAATGTAATTTGCTGGAATTACAGTTTTAGAGGGAAGTGCTTGCAGGTTTTCATATTCAGCAGCAAGAGGACTAAATCTGTCCATAAACTGACACAGCTCTGAAGTGACATAGAGAGCTGGCAAAAAAAAATCGTCAAATATTTGGTTTGCAATCAAAAATTAAGAAAAAATATTTTTAAAATTTAAAAATGCCCATTCTCAACATCTTAATGGAGATGAATAGATAAACTCGGGGTCTGGAAAGCAAAGTTCTAGAACCACCCACAAAAATCCTGAAATGGAAAAGTTTTTAATTTGTCATGAAAAACAGGTTAAAATTAATCTTTTAAATTTTATTGCAATGCTATAAGTTACGAGCTAAAAAATTAATAAAGTTGGATAAGAGAATCTATAAAAACCCCCATAAGAAAAAATGGAAACAATCAATTTTGCACCTTTCATCAATACCCCAGGAGTTGCTACACAACTATTTCTATATTTATAAGATATGACTTTGCCCTGAATGCAATTTGCAATCTATTAACTTGATCCAGTTTTCACTGAAGGAAATGAAAAGATTACCATTGACTCCAGTGAAAGCTGGATTAGACTCTGTTCACATTCACAGTGGGGAGGAAAAAAAAAAAACCTTAATGATTATTTATGCCAGAAATTCCAGTGTAAAAAGCAAAACTGGTGCAAAAGCGTTGAAGAACTTGAAGAGAAAAATGAGCACAGTTGATATAAAATATAATTCCACTAAAAAGTAGAAGATTACTAATTGCTCTGAATGCACTTACAGAGAAGCTATAGATGTAATTAAATAGCACAAATATACTTTGAAATCCAATTATAGCAATGGAGCAATGATTGCACAGTTGCATGAAGAGTTAAAATAAAATATGATAGCAGATAAATGGGTATATTAGAAAGGCATTATTAGATTTCCTTGCATTTATCCACCACTGAGTGCCACCAACCCTTCAAGCCAGGGACAAATAGGAGAAAACAGATAGAGGAGAGAGATTGAGTTCTCCTGCTAAATATAGATGGCAACAACTGAGATATTTCTACTAAAAAAGATAAAAGGAGAGATACCAGCTACCAACACATGACATACAACAAATCAAAATCCTGAGTCTTATTCACAGTCCTGCTGTGCCATCAGAATTGTCAACTTTTGTAAACACCAAACCATAAAAGGAGCAAAATTCGAAAAGGATTTACTGCAGGAAGTTGAAAAATCTCCAAGAAAACACAATATACCAATAAAGAGCCAATTATTGCACCATCAATATTCAGCAGTGGACTATCAGGGCAAAGCTATGCAGATTCCATTAGGAAAAAATACAGCCATGCCTATCCTTTGGCAGGAGAACATTACTTAGAGATGGGAAAAGGGACCTGCACTATATTTGTGGGTTTAAATAATAATTTGATACTTTACCCATTATGTTGAGGAATTAACATTAAGAGGAAACAAATGCATGTCCCTTTCTGATTTAAAACTAAGTCAGTTCTTGCTCTGCTTTCTCTTGTCCTTGGAATTCACACTGCCTTAAAATATACGGATATTTATGGTTTGTAAAAGGTATTTATAGAATATTCAAGGTTTTCCAGCTTTTAAATTCCAAGGGAAGTATTCACCAATTGACAGTAACTTGCTCATCCCTCTTACAACCTTACCTAATTTTAAAATTGAAACATAAACCAGGCACAACTTGCAAGAGGTTTTTGTGAGAATTCCTCTCTGGTGTGTTGGTAAATGCTTCTTTGGAAGTTTCCCCATGAATAAACACCTGCAATCAGCCCTATTTCCTAGTTTACCCCCATTTTGCAGTCACAGGGCTCATAAGGGGTTTTATTTTGTGAGGTCACACAGACTGTGTCTGCCCCTTCCCTGGTACAAGTTGGGTTATTAGCTTAATCAAAGAGAGGGGAAAAAAGAATGAAAATAACCCCTAAAAATAGTCTCTTATTCTGCTTTTGCTGCAACACTACAAACAGAAACATCCACATGCTCAGCTCTGCCTTGGCTAAGCAAATCTCATAAATGTCTGAATTTCCCATTATGGCCATGATTTCTAGAGGGAGATGAAATCTTTACCTCTCTCTAAATTGATGGGAGTCTCCCTCCTCCCTTCAGATGCCAGAATATGGAAGTAGAAAACTCTCCCTCTGAAGGCTGTATTTTATAATACTCTGATGAGATGCCTTTTGATTTAGGGTTGGCATGAAGGAAGAAAAAAACCCCGTGTAGTCTGCCAGCTCATCTAACCCAACTTTAATCACTTACTGTGTAGACAGCTATATCTGAGCCACTCATCTAAAATCCCTTTAAAGTCAATGGTGAGAAATAGATGTTTTTAGGATGCAATTAATTGATTGGAAGGAAGAGGGATCTATCACATATGGAAAAGAATTATGGCCCAAAGGGTTCTGCTTTTCCTCATTTGCTTTAGAGAAGTTCACACGTCTGCATTTGAACAGTCACACAGGACAGGTGAGAAGAATATCTCCAACCACTATTAACAAATCTCTCTTGGTGTTTTTTTAATCTGTTTTCCTGTTCCCTTCCCTTCTGTTCCTACACCCAGTCTCTCCTGAGATACCAGTTCAATTTTTTTGCATTACAAGCCCATTAACCCCTCAAAGAAATGGGTTCATCCATCTGATGCTAATGAAAATTTTTGGATCACACACTAGGGCCAGAACTGATCCATCAGGTTTGAAAAAGACACTAATGGTTTTTTTCATGTCAATTGTCACAGAATAAGACAAATAACAAAAATCTTCCTCCAGCTGTGCCAGTCCCCCAAGGGCCCTCCAGCTCCTAGGACTGTGGGTGGTCACCACCAAAATGTACCAAAAGATTATGGTGGGTACAGAGAATGTAAGGAGCTGGGGTGAGAAAAACATTCCCCCTCAAGGTGATGTGGCACGTCTATCACCTTGAACACACAGCAAACTCCTGGAGGGAGCAAAATTAATAATAAAAAATTTCCCTTCATCAAGTGAGACCCAACAAAGCCAACTTGAAACAAGTCCTGCCAGAGTTGAATATTTTGGAGCCCCCCAGAACATTCCTTTTGCTGCTCTACCACCCAAAGCACAGCCCTGCTCTGCCATTCTGCTCTGCTCTGACAAGCTGGTGAACCACAGCCCGTTTCCTCTCACCCACCAAAGAGCACCATTGTGCTGCAGGTCTTTGAGGAATCTGCTGCTCACTCTGACATAAGGGAGTAAGTTTTGTTTCATGTTTCCCTCATTCTGGGCATTCATCTTCAAAGTGTTTCAAACACAACCGGGGAGCCTCAGAAGCCTATCAGGGGCAATTCAAAGAGCTTTGCACAGAGCAGGAGGGGGCTCCTGTTCAAAGCTGCAGCTTTGCATCCGCCAGAGAGGAGCAGATTCAAACCCAAAGAGGTCACTTCACCTACCTGTAGTGGGATCTCATATTCAGAAGACTCTGAGGGAAAATAAGGGATATTTAGGCAGTGTGATAACTGAAGCCCTCGAGGCGATGCTCTTTCTCTCTCCCTCACACACAGAGCAATGTCTCCTTTAGAGAAAACCTCCAAACTCTGGGAGACATAATGGCCTCCAGAAAACTTACTCACGGATTAGCTCCAGCTGTTAGATCCTCCTGGTTTCTGCACAAAACTTTCCAACGAGCTGGACCACCACAGGCCCCTGTTCCTGTGCCTGAAACAAGGAAACTACAATAAACACTTGTTCAATACAGCATGGAGTAGCAAAAACCACTGATTTCTTTCAATTACTCAATTTAATGCAATAGAGAGGGAATATTTTGCTTGGTTCAGAAGTTACCATGATCAGAGCTGGAAGCCCCTGCATAACATAAGGGCTCTGCTTGGATGGGCACTGTCTAAACACAGAATAATTCAGAGCTGCTGGCCTCAGAATTTATCATTTTCACAAGAAACCCAGAAAAGAAGAAAATATTGTTGTCTGAAATTTATACGCAGAGACCTGAGACAAGAGAAGATGCAGGTTCAGGTAGAGATGTTTAATATCATTAATAAGGGTAAGAAAAATCAGAAAAGGATTAAGAGAAAGAGAAGCATAATGGTTTTATGGATTATATGCAGAGTCTTTGCATCAGGCACTTGGTATTTTTAAAAACAATTTTGATTAAATCACTGTAACACATGATTTTATGAGATGTAGCAGCTCTGCATCTGCAAAGGAATCTCCTGTTTGCTACTGGGAGAAGGCAGTGCCATCACTGGGATTTAACCCCACTGTCCTGGGTTAGCAGGGTCTCTCCCTGCTCCCACTGCCAACACACACCTGATGTGGCCACATCCTCCTCTTCCAACATCCACACCACAGCCACAAATGCCACCTCTGCACAGTTTCTCCCACCTGTAACAGTTCTCCAGTTTTTGTTGTCTCCAAGGACCTTTTTCCCCTTTTTTTAAAATACTATGCTAAAATGCACATCATCCTGCACTGCTTTCTCAGCCTCCTCTTCTTCACACAGTATTTTTATTAAAAGCTGTAAAGACTTAGGGACAGCCTGTGCCTGAATGGCACTTCACAGATACACTTGCATTACTCCCCACACCAAATTTTTCTTTTTTATTAGTAGTCTCTGGTTTTGTTTTGTTTTAACCTCAATTTCAACATCCCCTCCATTGCCATGCCTCATTTTGCTGCAGTGCTGACTGTGGTGTTTCAGGTTCACTGTGCTCCCTCCACGTTTGGGTTATAACAGCAGGCCAAGATGGATCATAAACTTTATGTCTGATTCTGCTCCTCACGTAACATTTGTGGGGTTTTTCACATTTTTCTACTTACAAATGCATTATTCATTTAGAGCATCTGATCAAGTATTCTGGGTTCTGTGAGACAAGGCTAAAATTTAATTTAACTGCCAAATTATTCTTGTGCTGTGCATAGCCAGGTACAGCCCAGTTTGGACAAGGCATCTCTCCAGAAGAGCTGAGCATTTTGAGGCCCTTTCTCACTGTAAGGAACACACTCTGTGCTCAAATCTGCTCTCAGAGGGCTTTCTAGCCTGCTTTTGCACCGTGTTCCCTTTTGTCCATGTTTTATCCTCACTCCCATTGCTCTTGTGCTGACCTCACCTGGAGCAAGGAGGCTGCAAGATCTCCATGGCTCTTTGCTGAAAGAGCAATTGATTTATGCCCTGAATGTTTCCCAGGTTGTAAAACAGCAAAAAAGGTACAAATGAAGAACCTCACACTATTTTTCTTCCTGCTGTGTGCAATCGAGCCACAGAGTCTCCCTTACTCCCAAAGAAACTGCAAATTACCTCAGCATACCTGAGCCACCAGCAGCAGCGTGACATTGGGAATATTTTCCCCCACTTGTTCTCCTGCTGAGCTCCTCCACAGGTCTGGGATGCTGCCTGCTTCCACAGTGCCTGGTTGGAAACAAAAATCCTGCATGTGAATGAAGCACTAAACATTTGCCACCAAAATATGTGAATAATTTTTAAAGAACTTCACATTCCTTCAGACATTGTGGAGTTGACCCCATCTATCTGTGGAGTCTGAAAGGGAAATAGATTTAACACAGCCAAGAAATAATCACGGAAAGCATTTTGGATTCAGCCAAGGATGAAGTAAGGCAGTCTATTTTCTTCAAAGCAAGCTGAGGCCACTGCTCACTACATTCAAATACATCAATTACACAGAGCTTTAATGGAAAAGGATTAAAAAGTACAAAGGTAAAACAAACAGCATCACTGCAGTGTCCAGGAGGATGAAACAGCTTCCTTCTGTGGTGGGTATGATTACAGAATTGCTAAAAAGAGAAAGGGAGGAGAAATGGAAAAAGGTTTTGTGTACCTTGAGCAGAATTGCTGTGACAGTGACGAGCCCAGGCCACTGCAGCATGTGCACTGTGGAATTCAGTCCCTATGGCCCCAGTCTCACTGCCAGTGCTCAGATATGAACTCCAGTTCTGTATTTCCTCTTTTCTAGCCAGGGAAGTATATTATTTCATCAGTGCAAAGCTTTAGAAATGGTTGTTTTTCCTTAAATCTCCTCAAATGATGTCTGTGCTGTACCAGGTCATTGCAAACTGTTTCCTCCAACTACTTCTATCCACATTCTCATTTCCAAGACCTGTGCCATTCAGCTCCATCTTCCTTAAAAGTTTGGTATTGAGTTTTTCATATGCCTAATTTGGGCTTAATTTGAGCCTGGGGTAAATCGTTACAACTCAGATGGAGTCAATAGGAGCACAGTGACTTACATCAGCTTTGTGTCAGTAAATACTGACAAGATTGATCCCAAACTTTTTCAGAACAAAAGATTTCTGAAGATGGATTAAACAACATAAATGCTGAGCTGTTTTGCCAGACTGCAAATGGCATAACACAAGCTTTGTGTGACATCTCTGAATTATCCCGTCGTGGTAATGTTGACATTACATGGTATTGACTCACGGAAGAAGCTTAAATACCCTTTTAAGTTTTCAAGACTCTTTGACAAAGCACTATTTCATTAACAAAATGTTAATGGAATCCAAGAAACCTCCAGAAGAGCCTGCTGGCTGGCCAGGGGATGTGGCAGCACAGAGCAAAGCAATCCTGATTTTTAGACAAAGGAAAGGAAGCCTTTCATGCAGGGCACTCTGTGGTTGAGGGAGGAGGACCTGAGGGCACTTCCACAGCCCTTCACTGAAGGACTACCACACCTTCTGCTGGAGAAGGTCAAAATAGCACAAATTAGGAAATGCACAGAGTGAGCTGGCAAAAGACAGAAGGGTTGGCATCAGCTTGGAGAAAAAGCTTCTTTCTGGAGAAAGGAGAAAGGTCTGGAGAACATTGCCAGGGGGTCGCCTGCTCTGGGGTCACCTCTGGGCACGGGACATTTATGTGCCCACAGCTGAAACTGCTGGCTCTAAGGGTCCTGCTAATCACAGAACCTATTAGGTTGGAAAGGGCCTCTAAGACCATCAAGTCCATCTGTTAATGACACAGTGGCTCTCAAATAACTACAGGGTTTATATTTTATGGATTTATTATGCTCAGGACAGAGCCATGCTCCCAACACTGACCTCCATAGAGAAACTCTTTGTAAGTCAAAGAAAACGTAACAGACCTTCTAAAGAGTGAAGTTTTCCCCCACACTGAGTACTCAGATTTTCAAACTTGAACTTTTCCACCATTTTTTAGGTCTGGATTTGCTTTATGTAATAAGGCAACTCATTATCCAAAAAGATTGGAAGGGGTGGGCAGAGAAACACTAAATCTCTGTCCACTTGATAGCATTTTGCACACCAGCAGCACATTTCCTCCCAATAGTTCATTTTTTCTGCTCTATGGACTCACATAAAGCAACAAGTGCAAGAGAATAATGTAAAAAAAAAAATAAAAATTAAAAGTTCAGTGCATAAATGCAACACTTGACTGAGGCACTCAAGGGCCACCTTGCTGCCTGAAACCACTTCTTTTTAATTGTCTACATTTCAAGTTGATAAAATTCACAGTAGTAAAGATAACTTTGCCTGACTTCCAGTAGAAGCCATGATGAGGAGTTGATGGGAAGGGGGGGAGGCCTGGGAGATGTTTGTGTGCATTTGTGCAACACATTAAAAATAAAGAAATAAACAAAGAAAGAATCACACAGAAATAATCACACAAAAATCACACAGACTCTGCACTCTGTTCTAGTAGCTGGATTAAGGGGGAAGCAACCCAGGTGTTAATGAGGGGGAGCCTCATGGCACTGCACTCCACTCCTGTCAGCTCCAGCACGGACCAGGGATTAAAAAGGAAGATAAAGATGCTCTGATACCTCTGAATGATGGACAAAAGGCTGGTTGAAAACAGGCATTTTGGGGCAATAGCAAAAGCTGTTTCCCCAACCCCTACATAACCAAGTGTGTGAAGTGATGCTGATGGTTCCTCCTGTCCCCAGGGTAATGCTCCCCTCACAGCACCTCCCCCTCGTGGGTTTGTTGGTTTGAATTCAAGGCAAATGACCTGTGCCTTGAGGGGTGAACAACCACAACATCAGCCCCAACAAGAAGACAAAAACTCCTACAGCAAGGGAGGAAAGATTTTGTGCCAGGAGATGATTTGTTTTTCCAAGTGCCTTGCTGCTCTCCAAAGGAGAGGAGGAAAGCTGCACTGTCTGGGGGCTGCGTGGCTGCCCTGCACAGAAGCCAAAGATCTACAAACCCTCTGCCCAGGGCATTTGCTCCAGCACAAGGCAATCCCACCTCTCCATTCACCACCAAAACACAAGAGAAAAGTACCCACAGCACACCTCTGGCAGGCAAACCAGCTCCCAAAATCCTCCAGCTAAGAGACTTTCCTCAAATAATTGATGTAACTAAATTGGGAATCAAAGATTGAGGCTCTTTCAAGGATAACCAAATAAAGCCCTGGATGGCTGTTTTGGTGATAATGGCCACGCCAGAGCTCAGCCTCTGCACAGGATGAGCACAGCCCATGAGCAGAGGAGCCAGGTGAGCTTTCAAGGCTCCATATTCCCAGCAGTGTGGAAATTCAGTAACTTAGTAAAAGAGAAAGGGAGAACACCCAGAGCATTCCTCAAAGTTAGCTTGGATAATACTGTAGGTTTCAGTATAAAATAATCTAAAGGACTTTCAGGAAAATTAAAATGTAAAGGAATTCAAGTGAGAAAGACATTTTGATCTTGACTGCAAAGTGTGGCACTTGCTCAAGGACACTGAACTTTGTGATCTCTCTGGGGTCACGAATTTTCCACATGAATTAACAGACGTCCTTTGAGCCACAGAGACCAAGCAGGATTTTTATCCCAGCTGAAGATCTGCCCCACGATGTTCACATCCCATTGCCAGGAAAGCATCTCCCACCCTCCAGATAGCCTTGGTCAGAGCCCTCTGTGAATAAGCACTTTATAATGTGAGACACTTGCAGTGCAGTGGGTCACTGGCAGCAGGGTTGAGAAAAGGACATTCACATCTGAAGTCACAAATCTCCACAGTCAACGCTGAAAAAATCAGCTCTGTCTCAAAGGCTCTTACAGACCTAAGGGACTCAACATACTCACAGAATAATACATTGCTGCAGTGTGTTAGCAAAGGTTAGGGAAAGCTGGAGACCCTCAGGTTTTGGAAATCAATCTGTGCATGGCACAAAAGTTTCTCTTTTTAAACCTGAGACAAAGGCAGGTTGTGTTTGTTGTACTCTCAGAAAAACCTGTGATCAAAACCTCTCGCTCATCTGAACAGGACAAGAACACTCAGAGGCACAAAGACAGCAGGAAGGCAGCAGTTCTGCAGAAGGGGCATTTTACTTCTAAAACTCCCCTGCATGTATGCCCCTGGTGGTTACACACATTTCTGCCCATTCTCTACACTTGCACCCATTATTTTTTTTTAGCTGCCATGTTTAGCCACACCTGCTGTGACCATAAATTTTAAAAAAAGCATTTTAAAGACCCCTCCAAAGAGCAAACTCAACAACACTTACAATTGCACTAATATAAAATTCACTAGACACAACTGGCACCACACAAGAGGATTTTTCTTTCCCAGTCCTGGGATGGAGTTTAGTTGAGCAGAGCTGGATTTAACTGAGCTGAGCTGCTGCCCACCCTCCTTCCTGCTACTCAGGTGCCTCTCCCCAGTGGTTCCCCAAGGAAAACATTCATTCCTCCAGAAAGAAAACCCCTGTGTGGTACCAGGCACTGAGGTGAGAGGGTATTTACTCTCTCTGCAGGATAATTCTAGGATTCAGCCCTTTTTTTTAAATCTCTGGATGGATCTTTAAATCAAAAATTAAATAAGTGAGAAAAGCTTTACAAAAACTGATAATCCCAGCCCAGACATCTTCCAATCATAAATAATTGTCATTCTTAGCATAATATGCAACCTTCAATATACTGTTGTTTCAGGCACTTTTAGGTACCCTATAGAAATGACTTTATGCTGCCATTATTCCTAAAAAACTTCAGATGGCTTTGGATCCATCATCATTCATCATGTCAGCCCCTCTACGGGTAGTTACACACACTTTGTCTGCTCGGGTTTATCTAATAGCCAGCCTTGGGTTTTATTAATTTCCACTGCTTTGCAGAAACTACAGAGCTCCTACGCTCTTTTATAAATTATCTCTGAACTTGTAATCATTTTCCATGAAAACCCAGCAGTGCTTTAAAGCTACTTCAGCTCTTCCAGGGCTGCTACTTCCTTAAGAAGGGCATCCCAAATGCTTGATGTGGTTTGGATTTCCCTGCTCTTTGTTTGCTGGGATTTAAACTTGAGGAAAAGCAGTTTTTGGGTGCTGCTGAAAAATGGATTCCCAAGGGCAAAAACCTGATTTGTGTGGTGTGAGCATTCATCTTGAGTGTTCAGCAGCCTGAGCTGAGCTCAAACCTTTTACTTGTCAATTTTGCATCTGTGGGATTAGGGAGCATCCCT